CCAGGTCTTGATCTGGAACACGGAAAGGCCGCAGGCCGAGGCATGCGGCCCCTCTCTGGGCCCAAAGTGACATCCCCCCATCTGAATGGTTTTGCAGGGAAACCGGGACCCAAAAGTGGTGTTCAAACCACCTGAAAATGTGCTTCCCACGCGCCACTTGGTTTTCACCACTCCATCTCCAGTCTCTCCACCCAGGCTGCCTGTACTGCGCAGAGGCAGCACCGGCTCTCTGGAATGCCTGAGCTGGAAGCTCACTTCACGGCCTACATGGGCAGGGCTGGGGGGAAATTGCATCACAATCTTTACAACCAGAGACTTTTCAGGACGACTTCCAGGAGACTTTCAGGACACCTGCTCCAATCAAATGAAAACAACGAGGTGGCTTTCCGGACATTCAAGAGCACAGAACAGCTACCGCCCCGGGTCAACGGACAAACATACTGTACTGAAGTATCAGCTATTTGGGTAGACCCCTATCTGTTTTGCAGATTCATTGGAATTGGCTTTGGGTGGACCTCCATCAGTTCGTGATGAAAATGTCAGTTAGTGCTTCAGGATCTTTGCCTACACAGAAGGGAGTCCCGAACTCTTCAGACGTGTCCAGAGCTGTGCTTGAACGCAAAGCAAACACAAGAAACCGCAATGAGGGCTCCGAAGGGAACACGGCTCTTCAAGTTCTGCGTTTGCCTGAAAGCCTTGGGTCGCAGGCAAACATCGGGAAGCCACCAGAGCCAACCATAGCATGTTGGCCCTTGCAGGAAAAAAGGTGCCAAATTGGTTCGATATCCTTCGCCATGCTTGGCTGCACCTGTGTTTGTTACATGGTCCTTTCAACCACCAAAGGCACACTCAATCAAACTGGATTCTTTCAGATGCGTCTCCCACCAAACCCTCTCGGTGGACGTCTTCCCACGTCTCGCAGATACGCCCGTGTTCTCTTCCCACCAAACCCTAGGTGGACAACGTTTTCCCACGTCTTCCCACGTCTTCCCACAGAGACAAGGTCCTGGCAAAGGTCCCGGGGCTCACAGGGCAGGCTGCCTGGGCTCAGCTCGGGTGCTACACACCGATTCGGGGGGAAAGCGAGCAAACGCCATGGTAGAGATCCGTTACTTGGGAATCCCTTAGTCCCTTAGTTTCGGATTTTTTGGGCATATCGAAACATTTGCAAATTAGTTGGCTCGGAAATGGGAAAAACAAAAAGAAGGCCCAATAATTTGTGTAACTCTGGGCTCCCGAGCAACTCGATAGGAAGAGATGTGAGCAAGGGCTCACTGCTTCAATGATCAAATCTCTGTTGGCTCACTTGGCTGTTGTTGCTGGGCAAGTGTCTGGATGTTCCAGCAACTTGGTTGCCTCCAATTGGCACTGGTTGTCGGTTGGGATTCATCTTGAGCCCCCGCCCAAAGGCTCTTGCAACCCAAAAGCAGTTCGGGGCGTGGTGTGGGAAACGCCTGCTCCTCCATTGCAAACCCAAGAACCCTTAGGATGCGATGTGAGTCACGGCTCAACTGATCGGCCACACATACCTGCCAAGGTGCTAACAACTTCGCCGGTCACGACGCCACACATACCGCCTCCGCCCGAAGTTCCACAACTGTCTCATGACAGATTTTGGCCAGGAGCTTTGTCGTGCAAAAGCTGGGGATCTTGGGGGCGATAGTTGCCCAAGAGACATGAGTGTGTGGCAAAATAGGAGGAACCAACAAATTGCGGTTTTCCTGTTGTTCCCTTTCAGCCAAAGTAAACAAGGGTATCCACAAAATGCAGAGCCATATCTGTCCACCAAGGTGCTGTATGTGGCCAACTCCCCAGGATCGATGAAATAAACTGACATCCATTTCGGTTGGCTGATCTATAAGGGAGCTCAACAAGTAGGAACGCAGAAGGGCACGTGGACGTGGCATGATGTCATGGTGCAACATCCCCTCTCAGACACCTAAGAAAGACTAACTCAGCAGGGCAGGAAGACGTGTAAATCATTCTTTGCGCCAGCACCCGCAATTCGGCCACCGTAAATACACAAGACATATCTTCCCCCACCTTGCAGCCCTGGAGTCCGATTTGTGAGGGCCTCTGCAACATCAATTTTAAATACAAGACCAAATCGGAATCACCAATATGTTTGGTTGCCCCAATTGGAGAAGCCACACCTTTTGGTGTGGAATAGGATGAGCGTATGGTGCGCAAGGGTGCAGCGGTTGCGATAAAAAAACTTGCGACCAATCTGAGTGTGTGCACTCCAAGCTCTCGAGTGGGCAAGGAAACATACCACCACCGCCGAATAAGCAACCGCATCGCCAACACCTTGAGCCAAACATGTGCATCTCATGCACAGGATCTCAGATTGGAAAAGAACAATCAACAGCTGCTCACGATTTGCGGTGGCGTGTGCTGTCATCTGCAAACAGGCTCTGCAAGACTAAATCAACAACGGATGTCCTCTCCACCCCAGGGCCAGCCATAAATCATTCAAACAACCAACGGCCAGTTGCCAACTATTGCCCTTGGCTTCATGGTATTTAGTGTCCGTGTCAAAACCTGACCAACAAATGAAACGTTAACGTCACAATCGCTAAATTAATCGTGTCATCCGAACCCCAATGCCAAATAATGAAAAATCTAATTCAACATTACAATCAAACATGTACAAACCAACAAAAACACAGTCAATACATAGATCCAACAAACACCCAAACCAAACACAACAAAGGAACACAAACAACAAACAAACAAACAAACAAACAAACAATCAAACAACCAAACAACCAACCAACCAACCAACCAACCAAACAAACAAACAAACAAACAAACAACCACCCCAACAAACCACCACCCCAACAAACAAACAAACAACCAAACAAACGAACAAACAACCAAACAACGAACAAACAAACAAACAAACCAACCAACCAACCAAACAAACAAACAAACAAACAACAAACGAACCAACAAACAAAACGAACAAATAAACCAACCAACCAAACAACCAACCAAACAAACAACGAACGCACCAACAAACGAACAAACAAGTAAACAAACAAACAAGCAAACAAACCAACAAGCAAACAACCAAACAAAGACACCCCGACAAACCACCCCAAGATGTTCCTTGGAATGTTCACCCACTTTAGGAGAAACCCATCCCACAGACATGCGCACGCTTCCCACCTCGCGGCGGGCCGGTGGCGGGCCCGCTCCCGGCTGAGCCGAAATTCCAATGGGGTAATCACCCTATGTTGACTTGGTTTTCAACAATTCAAAAGGGGTGCCCTCAAGAACAGGCACAACTATAATGCGTATATATATATATATACTAGTGATATACTAGTATGTTCCAGGTTCCAGGTCTCCCCCCCTTTCCCTCCCCTCATCCCCTCATGGTCATGGTCCCCCCCCCGGTGGTTCTGGGTTGGCTCGGGGTAGGGTTGTTTGAGGGAATGTCTGGGGGCCCCGCGACATGCTGGGCCAGGGATGGATTTTTTGGGAGCATCCAAACCTTTGCTGTGCGAGTCATTGAACACTTCCGCATTTCAACGTTCCAACTATGGGAGCTTCAAAAGATCCTGGGTTTCTATTCGGGCCAAATCATCTCAAATACTGCGGAATGACTTGTCTAGTTGCCGGCTTTACTGCCCGATTGAACTTGATATTGACTTTCATTAGGATGTCTGATCGGGCCGAATGAACTGTGTGGTTGGCCCATTTGTAAACAACATGCACATCGGGAGTACATATATGTTCACCAGCCATGTTTGAGAGTGCTCTTGACAAAGACTCATATTACTGCGAATGATCGGAAGGCAGAAACTACGTCACCACAACTGACAATCAATCCTAGGGCCTGGTTAATGCCAACATCATTGGCCAAATCACACTAGCGCAGAGATGTTATTTGCCTAAAGGGACAATGGAATGCTACCTACTTTAGTGGCTTGCCTTTGGCTGTGCATCCACGTGCCCTGGGCCATCAAAAGGTGCGCCAGCTTTTGTTGAATCGCACAGAAACTGAAACAGGCTCCTTTAGACTCAGTACGTTTTGGTAGAGGAAAACGGGGGTTTGAGTCATGTGACACCTCAGCACAACGAGCAGAATGGCCTAGACACTTATTTGGCTGATGCAGTCTTATCTTTATAGCTTACGTGTCCTGCTGCAAAACTCGAACCTCCGGTGCAAAAGACAAACAGGATTGTTATCTTGGGGAGTGCAGTGACGCTGGGTGTCCACAACTGCCGCGATTCTGATCTTAGTTTCACTCCGCTGCACACCCAGAAAAGCCTCCTAGTAGGGTTGCCACAAATGGCGACTGCTATCAACCGTAGTTCGTTCAGCCATTGGGGACTTTTACGGAGTACATTCACCGTGCTTGTCCTGGTCAAACACCACGTACTCGTTGCCGAGTTCTTGGACTGTGCGGACCATTTCGGTCGCAAACGAAGAGTTTGCGAGGTGCAGCCCTGACAAGTTTCCTCTTCGTTGAACAGACTCAATGATGATTCAAGGCGAAACCCTACGCAACAGATCCATCAGCAGTGTAGGTTTGCAAAGTGTTTGATCCTGCCTCGTGTGGGTGGTGCCTCACCGACAATAAGATAGCCACGCGTGTAAAGGCTCATGATGCTGGGGCTCCATCCACCAAGCTCATCGCGCATCTGGGTGGCATTCAACCACTCCCTCATGAGTTCATCAACAGAAACATCTTGCTGCTTTTTGAACACCTTGGCCCATTTCTCGCCAATCCACCCGGGAAATGAGTAGGATATTGATGCCGGGTAGAGGGTCGGGAAATATGAACAAACACCCACTTCACCATTTAGGGAAACAACAGATTGGCGTTTCAACTTTAGCACTAATTTGCTTGAACCAACCAAAAGATGGGCCTTTTTTTCAGCAAAAAACAAAGAACGCTCGGGTTCTCCACCAATTTCTTTTTCAGAAAAAAGAAGTGGCCGCCACTCCCGGGCGCGTCGAAGCTTCGAAGCACTGCTTCGCACTTGGCCTCTGGGCAGCGGCCGCCACTCCCGGACCCTCCAGCGCCACGCGCTGGGGCCACACCTGGACTCAGCTTGGCCCATGCCACCGAAAACCCTTCCAACGTAAAACACACATCAAAAGGCCACAAAAAGCCTTCCCCCAGCGTAAAACGAGCCTCTGGAGCTTCCCCATCAAGAATGGGGGGGAGATGACTGGATGTTCGATTCAAGTTGGTAAGTTTGTGTCCCAGCAAGGTGACGGGGGCTTGTTTCAGTGGGGTGCAACCCAGGCTACCAACAACCTACTAACTTGACCGAACCCACATGGGGAGCCCGTTCAAGAAAACACGAACAGAAGATGTGTGCATGAGTCCGGCGATTTGCCAGGCGCAAGAATGGCTTTCTTTGTGGGATAGACCATGTCAGGGTTCCACCGCTTGACAGGATAGACTTAAAGCCCTGGTTCATTCCCCCTAAAAGGGAGAGAGAGAGAGAGAGAGAGAGAGACAAAACAAACCCTGGACCATCTGCATGGTGCGAAGCGGATTCAAGTCTTCACCCTTTACGATTGCCAAGACCAGGGGGGGGGTCCTCTGGGACCTGCTTGGCTTGCTTTGACCCCAAAAAAAACGAATTTGGTACCGGATATGTTTGGGGTTTGTCTCAAACTAAATAGGACTTTAGGATTCCCGAGCTTCCTTCCGAAGCAAGCCCCAAAAAATCACCCTCAACTAAACAGGCAATGTTGACCCAGCATTGCCGTCCGAATGGAATCGCGGGTCAAGCTCATCCACCAAACACTAAAACCGCTGACACCCAAAAGTGGCCCGCCAATCCACAAGGACCCCTTCACTATCTTTCACTATTGGAGGAGCTAGGCTTGTTGATGAATGCTAGACTCGAAGCTTGAAGAGATGACACTTTAATATGAACTTAGTGTTTCGATCTTCAATTTATCAAATGAGACTTGAGCAATGCATCCCGAAAATAAACCAAGACTACACCCTCCAGTCTTTAGTCAGGGCTGTTGGTTGCCCTGAACCCCCCCTTCCCATTCCGCATGGCAACCAAGGCCTAACTTTGACGCCCAAAAGTGGTCCCCAAATTCCCAGTTCGCATGAGATGTGAAGGTTGGAAGTTCCATGCTGACCCTTGAGAGAGAGAGTACATGCCTCGGCATCATTGCCAGATGCTGGTGTCCATGTCTCAGACATGAGCCTTCGCGCCAAACTGCCAGCCCATGAACGAAGGCCATCCAAGTCAATGGGAACAAATATTGGCCCATCCAACCCACCTCCCCAAAGAAGAAACAGCGGAACACGTCGCAGCCGTTACTTCCCGATTGGATTGCTCGAACAAGAGTCACGTCTCAAAGTCAAGGTTTTGCACTTTAGATGGTTTTTCTTCGCTGCTCCATTGCTAAAATTACATTCCTTCACTAGCTGTTCCAGCAGGCGTTCAATAAACATGTGACATGGAAGACTCCACTCATTACTCATCAAGTCAAGCCGGAGAACCACGAGCACAAGTACGTATATATAACATGCTGCCCATGGCCAGCTACATACACATCTGCAAGCAAACCCCGATGAGCACGTAACACGGCCCAGCACGGCCAAACTTCCATCAGCTTCCAGGAGTTTGCGATCCCAACCGGGTGCCATGGCAAAGAAGGCTCCAAAAGCAACATGAAATAGAAGCGCCCGTTTCACGCATTGACTTTGATTCTACCAACATGGCTAGAGAGGATTCTACAGGCGTTGCTATAATTCCAATAAAACCACCAACTGAAACTGCCAGTAGGGCAAACCCCGAATTTTATGGCTATCCTTTGGATGCCCTTTGAAAGGACACTGAAAAGCGAAAGCAGGTCGGCATCAAATTATCAAAGGCCTCAACCAGTATTTTAATATCCTGGGATAAACCGTGGATGCAAAGTAAAATACGCATTATAATAATACTACATTGAAACAGGAAAATGCTTCTGCAAAGAAGGACCTGGATACGACAAGGCTACAAATAGGGCACATATTTTTCCTGGTACAAAACTGGAAGCCTCAATGAGTGCTTTCTCAGGTAAGCAGTTCAAGTGCGCCATATGGCTGAAGGCTAGGCCCTTGATAGACCATGTACAGCACACTGGTCTTTCCCCTCTCTCACGAGTTTGGCTTGTGGCAACGATAATTTTGTACAACAATACTTTTTGGGTTCTCAAACTACAGCATTCAACAAATGGTCGTGCATTTGGTTTCCCTTACCAACCCGTTGGGCACCCTCAAAAACCCCATATACCTAATACCCATGGCATCGCCAAGCGGCTTGTGCGCGATTGGAGCGAGCTCCTCTGGTGAAAGCTCCTGACGTGCGAGCCGAGAGAATCAGATAACAAATCTTGGCCTGGCCCCAAGGCCAGGCCCGTTATTTTCCCGCTGCGAACAAGTCGAACTCTTTGGCCCCCGGGCAACGCTTCCAAGGGAGATCCAGACCAATGGAGGGTCCAAGTATAGCCCTCAACTGTCCAAACTCTCTCCAAAATATATAGATGTTGAACAAATTATGGTTGGTGAAGCCCCCTTTTGAGGGTTCAGGCAACTCTGTGGCCCAAAGAATCTTGAGACCTCAAAAACGAACTGCGTTGAGGTAACGCGTCCGATGGAGATCAAGACCCTCCAATGGAGTCTGTGTTTTATGGACGTTGAATTCGTGAACCCCCCCCCATGGACCAAACCTGGAGCAGCGCCCCGAAAGAGTTCATGTTTCATTCGACCCAAAGAAAAAACGAAGGCTATAAACAAAGCGGAGCGGGAATTGACGCCTGCAAATCCGCACAGGGTTGGTGCTCAGTCAGGTCGAGTGATTTAATTGGTGGGTTTGAGGCTGGCTTCTGTTTGAATCAAGGCTCCGAGGTTGGTTTTGGCAGGGTGTCATTGGAGGTACTTGGGGGCTGGATTTGATGTGAGACTTGCTTTTAGATTTAATTTAGTTTTGTTTTGGGGGGGGATTTGTTTTTGTTTGGCATCCTGGCGAGTAAACTGCTATTTTTACAGCATTTTCTCACGAACTGTACGTATTTACGCTAGTCCGTCAACATCACCAGCATCGTTTTCAACATCCCCCGCATGTCCAGCCAACATCCCCAGCATCACCAGCAAATCGAGGGCCTTGGCTTCCTACATCTTCAGCACCATCAGTTCCTCTCCGGCAAGGTAGGTTGGCATTTATGTATGCATGTTAAAAAGAGGGGTTGGGGGGGCGGCAGCCCCATAATGATTGAAAAAGTGATGATTCAATTAAAGGAGGGGGGGGTGTTGGGGGCGGCGGCAGCCCCCCCCTGATGATCGAAAAAGTGATGATTCAATTAGGGCTCCGTTTAGTGCCACCCTGCTTGAGATGGGGAGCAGCCGGGAAACGGAAACCAGAGACCAAACCAAACCTGCTTTTCCCGGACAGATGATGTGCGTTTCTGTTTGGAAGCAGGGAACTGATTGAAGCCAAAAGGAAGCCACCTGAAAAAATTGGCCCCTCTGGAAGCACCCATGTGTCTAGGAGTAGCTTCCCCATTCTTTCCAGGATCCAGAAAACCACCAAAAACCCTGGGGAGACAGCCGGTTATTGAATGAGGAATCAACCCCTAGAAAATGCCAGGATCAGAGATTAGGATGCGAACGTTCCAGTGGGACGAATTCTCGTCTTCAGAACGCTGGTGGCCGCTGGGAAAATGAGCCGAAGGGAGATGGGCAAAAATTGGACAACCCTTCCAGACATGTTTTCGTGTGGCACGTCTTGTGGGTCCACCCATGTCTCTCCAAGGAGTTGTTTGGTGGTTTTGGACCGAGCCTGGCAAATAGCGTAAGGCTTGCATTGTGACCCTGCCGCAGGAAAGCGTGTCCTAGAATGACATCATGCTGCACCAAGAAGCAATTTGTGGTTTGCCTTGCTTGTAGCAGGACCAATTGTTAGATGATGTTGATCGTGTCCACTTCCGACGGTGTTCTCAGTTCTTGGCGTTGGGTGTGGTGGTTTGCGAACCTTGCGATGGGCGGCTTACCCATCCAAACTCAAATCTACTGCTTTCTGGCTTTGGCTTTTCGCATCCTCTGCTTTCCCAGTTGGTTTTTGGCCTTGGCTTCCCGCATCCTCAGCATCGCCAGTTCCTCTCTGGTGCCCCCCGCCACCCCCCTTTCGATTAAAATGCACGATCATCATGCGCCAGCTACTTATTAGATTCTTTGCCCCCAATTGAATCATCACTTCATCGTGGGGGGGGGCTGCCTCTTTATGGTCCCCCTATAAACCAAGCCCAACACTGGAGCCGGTACCCCGAAACCGATACATTCACCTCTTTCACAGGGCACGGTTGCTTGGGGCTTCAGCCATCTGGCCCTCTCCTCCCCGTCGATGCGGCTCATGTCAATGCGCTCCTGACATCCCAAGCAAGTGGATGTCAGGACGGTCAACAAAAGTGAGACCTGAAGCCAACAGAAAAGGTGTTTCCAACAAGAGGGGGACGAATAACTCTCATTGCCGCCGCTCGAACAGCAGCGCAATGCTCAGCAGCGCATTGCGTAGATCTACCATCCAAATTCGCGAAAGTGGGGCAGCCGATTGACAAACAAGCAAGCCCAACGCTGCATCATAGATTTGCATCAGATCTGTTTGCATCTCGCGGAGTGCTCTGGAGCTATTCTTTTTCTGACACCTGCATCTGTCATTGCGCAAGAGGAACAAACATGGTTGTGAAAAACCTTCCTGTCTGTGATTGGAAGTTAGCCATCCCATGTCCACGAAAAATGACCTCGAAAAGAGCTCTCTCGATGTCAGAAATTGGTCCCAAAGCTGCGAGTTCCACTAGAATGTGAGCCAAGGGGAGCAAAGCACACCGTTCGGCATTGCCATTTATCCTCACAAAAGCATCAGTGACAGACTCAAAGAAGCATTGACACACCAAAAGCGCTCAGAAGTGAAAGCGCACCACCAGCACCAGCACCAGCACCAGCACCAGCACCAGAGCACCAGCAGCAGCAGACCAGCAGCACCACCACCCTGCAAAGACAAAGCAACTTTTGCTTGGAACCTGAAATTTGTTTGCGGTGGAATTGCCCGCACCTCGCTCAGTACACGCATGTACACGCACTGCTGCCTTTCGGTTTTTGCGCGGACGTTATTGGGTGTGTCTATTGATGGTATCCCCCCTCACATGCCGTTTAAAGGGAAACGACTGGGAAATCTACTTTGTGGAAGTCCCGAATTGGAGAGTAACCCATGCGGCTTTGCTGGTTGCCCATCAAACTTCCAGTAGGCGCTAGACGATTCCACGCCGCCTCTCTTCTGTGATGGGCAAAATTCAACTCGCACTAGACAAAATGGATGACACATCTTATGAAACCCTGGACAAAGCACCAACTAGTGTAAAGTGAACAACACGTCCATCTGTGCTTCTCGCTCCTGCGCAGAGATTTTCGAAGGCGGCGCAGCCAACTGGCAGATATATCGATGACCGAGATATCGATGCCACAGACGCCGCGTCTGTTTGGTTCGGATACCCCCCCTTGGAATTGGAAGACATACTTTTGGCAGAACGTTGCTGGGGAAGAGATTCGCGCAGGAAACGATGCCTTCAGACCTACTTTCCTACTTACTTTCACGGATCTTGCAGGGTATTTGGAGAGGTCGATTAATTATCCCTGGATGAGCCTTGAATCAAGCCCATGCATGCGCTTGGGGATATGGCCACGAATGGACTTCCGATAGAATGGGCTGTTTGATCTTAAGTGCAACAATTACCCTCCCACCAATTGGCATGGAACCTGACAAGGGTGCTGGAAGACTGTTTTCCTTTTAAGGGAACCCTCAGGTGCCGTGTCAATTGGTGGGAGGGTAACAAGTTCCATCCCGGAAGACATGCAAAGGACCAGAATTCCCCGGCTCGCTTGAGGCAGTTCAGCATGCACGTCGCCTTTTGCAGGATGTCTCCAGAGGAGGCTCAGCAAAAACGAACAACCGGAAAGGCATCCCCAAGCAAAGAGCCTTCGACATTTGTGTTCGAGCGAAGAAGACCATGAGAAGTGTCCATTGTACGTATTGCGAGTCTTCAAGCGACCAAACAATGTGACAACCTGGCAAACTCCTCCCAATGTTCTTTCCTGTTGCCTTCCCGTGCAATTTAGCCAGGAACCGCTTTTGGGATCCCTCAAAAGGAATCGGAAGCTGAGCAGGTTGCAAGCCGGGAGGGCCCCAGCTTGAAAAGAACTGCGCTTCTGTTGGCTCAGTCTCTGTCAAAGCACCTCGCAGCGCATCCTCATTTTCTCGCATGAGAAAATCGCCCCAGGCTGATAAAGGTAAAGACATCTCCAAATATCGAGTCGCGGCTCAAGTCGGAGGGCACTAACCCATGCGTTCCACAGGACCTTTCAGCACTGAGGCCTTTCGACGTTTAAGGTGTTTTCAGTTTTTTTTGGGGTAGGGTTCACTGCTTTGTCGGTCTAGGTTTAGGCTTGTTTCGGATTCCGTTGCGTTTTGTGGGGTTTGGTTGAAGGGGTTTCGGTTTAGGGTTTTTCAGGTTTAGGACAACAAGGTGAGGTTTGCAAGTTGGGACACCAGGATCTGGTCGGAGCTTACCCCTCCAAGGCCCCAAAATACTGGCCCTGCGCGGCTAACCCGTCCCGAGAAATGGGTGGGGCAGATCACGTGGATTGCCCGTAAGTGTAGATCCAGCGCTGACCTGTCAACTGGCAGCAACGTGAACATCGGGTCGGAAAGACTTCACAGACTCCGCTCTTCCGAACTTCACACCGAGGGTGTCTTTTCTGAAAAAACAACTATTTGCGATGGCTTAAACTGAAACAAAGGACTGAAACAAAACCACCGGGGTTTGCAGTGTCCCCTATTTTGACACAAGTGAGTGAAATGATCACCGAGCGGCGCTTCACCCTCCATGGGTTCGCTTGTTTCCCGATGTTTTGCCCGCGCTAGCTATTCCCCACCTCCAGTGGAGCCGTTGCTTTCTTTGAGGGTTTTTCCAAGCTTCGAACCAAGTGCCACCGAAGTGGGATGCCTGTGCGTAGTGTGGGGAAGACGGGCATAATTATCCTACCTCCGACGGTGCAGCAACTGAATAGATCCCACCCGTGGACGCGGTTTCCAGATGCACGAATTCAAAAGCTCTCCAGGAAAGTCGTGAGATGTAAGTTGGTCATAACATCCACGACTGCTTGAGTAAGCATTGCTGAACTCTGCGTCAACTGGCAACGCAGCGCGCAACTAGAGCACACCAGTGGCAACATCAAGCTGGCCAA